TAGTTCAAACAATTAGAAATTATTCGATTTCATAGTTATTTTGAGAAAATTAAATTTTAAGGGAAAAACTGCCTAATGGCTCAGATTTTGTTTTACTCCTGATCTTCCTTTCTCAGTTATCCACTGTAAGAAAAGCTCACATGTCACCATTTTTTGCAGTAACTACTGTCCTAAAACTACAATTATAGGACCTCAGGAAAACTAGTCTCCATAAGATCTGTGTTACCAATGCAAAACCATGTAAGAAAGCAAATGTCGCAGCCCAGCGTGTAGGCAATAGTGCTTCCAAATGCTTCTGGTCTCACAGTATACTGAACTTCAAGCATACCTTGGGTTGCACAGGGAACATGTTCTCAGATCCCAGCCCGAGGAACACAGAGGGTGTAGCCAGCCTGGGCTCACTGGGAGCTCTCATGTTCTCAGATTAGAAACTGAAGTGTTGGAAAGAGCTAGCTCTAGTCTAATTTAATTTGGCCCCATGAGACAGCGCTGCTGCTCTACGGCAGAACTGAACACCAGCAAAGCTCTCTTCAACTTCTCTATCCCCGGAATTCACAGGACCAGCACTGTCACTCTCCCAGGTAAAAAGCCAAGCCTCTAACTGATCAATTAGAGCAGAATAAGTACTCTGGCCACTGGGTGAATTGAAATCTTGCCCAGCGTGTACCCTAACTGAGGAAGTTGACAGTCAGTACCTAAGTAATTACTGAGGAAAGAATTAAATTAGAACCGAGGCTTTTATCTGATCCTAAAGTCTCTAAATATGTGTAAAGCACAGGTAAAAAAACATAAAATAAAAGTGATATACAAAAAAAGCAAGCTGCATACTGATATTCAGGAGAGGAAAACTTCGGGAGAAGTGTTCCATGATTTCAGTGCAAGGAAGAACAATGTATGTGTTATCCTACTTGGCTTCCAACTCTTCAGATGTTTTTCTTATAATAACAGAATCTCACATAAAACACAAAATGTAAATACTACGTCCCCATCATCAACCTAAAAAGAATAATAGATCATTTTTCATCTGGTTGCTTAATCTAAGAAGTTTATTTCTTGCTGCTATTTCTATCTCATAACAAAACCTCCCTTTAAGAAGGGTCTGATATTACCATCTTGGCTTATAAGCAGAGAAACTGAATCATAGGCATCAACATATCATAAGTAACGGTAAATTCCCAAGCCTCCTTACTGGCAAAATCATACTTCATCATTCATTTTGCACTGCCCAGAGAGGCTCAGATGGGCCTACTCTTCACTGGACCTAGGCTCACCTACACAACATCTATGTAAATTAAAAGGCATGTGAATCTCTAAATAACATGAGCATCTTCACAGAGATGACAGGTGTCACGTAGGAGGTTTTGTTCTCAGAAACAAGTGTATTTGCTGACGATCATGAATTTGTATTCATTTTTATTTCTGAAATAATAGAGGAGTTCCTTAAAATTATATCAGCAAAGGGCTGCAGTCCAAAGCACAAAGTATACAAGAGATAATATACCTAATATATAATGGCCTGTAGTATAACAGAAATGAGGTGGAAGAATAGCTCCCACTGCACATACGCATGTGCACACATACACACACGTGGAGAGACTTAAAACCTAAAAAAATAAATAAATGTTTAGAGAAGCAGCATGATGTGCTCTGAAAAGAAAGTCCTTGAGAATCAGATCTGTATTTAAATCCTGCCTCCTGCCCAAGATCTATGCTTCAGGTTCACTTTCTATAAAATGGAAATAGTCATAATCACATCATGGGACTGTCACGAAGATTAAATAAGATAGAATATACAATAAGACTTAGCACAGTGCCCACCACATAGAAAACAATAAACATCAGCTACCTTCGCCTTCTTCTTCTCTGTGTATTTCTGAAAGGGCTTTTTAATTTTACTGACTTAAATGGGAATTCTTACAGTAGTTAAAAAAAAATGGTTCCTACACATATACAGTCATTTACACATATATATCTGTTGCAGCACCATAATTTGCAAAGAGAAAGGAAGTAGTAATTTTAAGAGAAAAGTACCAGCTCACTTGCACTGCCTTTTAAAACCTTCAGCTTTGTAGTCGACAGAGACTATTTGTTCTAGGGGCGCAGATTCTGAAATAAAGGAAAAATTCTCATGGGAAAAATGGTTCCCAAAAAAGCCAACAAAGAAAAGATAATGAGGGGAAATCTAGGAGTATATAAAGGAGTTTATTTTACTTAACAAAGTAAAAGTCAAGCAAAATGAATAATCTGCCTCCAGAAATGGTTATTTAAAGGCTTTTTGTAAAGGGCTCTGGTTCCTAAAAAGACAGGAGTCAGTGCATATGCCCACCCACTCCTCATTTATTTTTAAACCCTAGCTTATATGTTCCTTAGCAACAGAAGGAGCAGATGAGACCCCCCTACACACAGAGAGACACACACACACCCTCTCTCCCAAAGCCCCCTTCTTCTTTACTGTCAAGTTTCATTCCAAAAATATTCATGTTCTTCAAAAGGATATTTTTTACCTACCTGCAAATCTCCACTTCTCCACCTCAAATGATCCCTTTTACACAAGCAGCCATGCTGCACGCTCTAAGTGAACTCTTGTGCTTAGACTCCATTCTGTGAGGCCTTCCTGCCTCTGCCCCATGAGTTCTCATCAGTACCTGTCCTCAGGTGCTGTCCAGAAGTGAGGTGGCGTAGTCTTCACTGAGGACCAACACCCAGCTCAAGAGCCAAAGGTCCCTACAGACCTTTTGGTAACCCCACCCCTCCCCCAGCAAAACAGTCAGGCCCAGTTAAATCAGAGTCCAGCACAAATGGCCACCATGGCCAGTGAGTAGGCCATTCACCACAATGCTAAAAGGGAACAAATAATAGTGATCAAAATGGAGACACTCTCGAGGCTACCTAGGACAATCGTGTGCCAGGTGACTCAACCTACCTCTTCACTGTCCTTCCTCTGACTTCGGGACTGCTTGGCCTTATTTGGCTGGGCAGAGTTTACAAATTCAAAGATTAATTGTTTAGTCTCTCGGGGAGGAAAAAAAAATAGGGCAGCAACACTTGGATATTCGTGTACTTAAGTATCGCCTGAGGAACCTTTTAAAAACTCTCACCCACAGAGAGTTCGATTCTGTAAGTGTAGGGTGGTCAGCACGTTTAACCAGCTGCCTGAGGTGATGCTGATGCAGGTGGTTCATTGACTGGGAGACTGTAAAGCTTTATTTAAAAGGAAATGATGTTCACGAAGTAGAATCCACCTCCATGGATTGTTAAGACAAATGCAACATCTCATTCCTCTATATATATAAAAAAAATATGCTGCATTTGTGTCCACGTCTATGTTTGTGTGTATACACACTTACACATGTATGGGTGAGCATGCAACCCAGAAAGCTATGGGCCCACACAGTATGCATTTCAAGGAGGGAGGCTCAGAGAATGACCCCTGCCAAGAGGCAAGCTGAAATGATTTCCCTTGCAAACTCTGGCTCTGTAGCCTTACCCAATGAGGAGTCTGATGAATACCAATGAGACAGGAGCAGCCCACACTGTGCTCCACGTAATCACCACCCCGCTCCCAACTCACAGCTCCTAAATTAGGCTGAATGTAGTCCCTATTCTCCTGAGGGCCAGACAGGCCATCGTAACTAGGAAATAGAACTGCCTGTGTCCCAGCATACCTCCCTAGAGCTACCCCACTCCCCACCACCTGTCTATTTTTAGAAACCAAAAGTATAAAAAGAAAGATCCATTTGGACCTGATCTGTGTGAGTAACTAAGAGAACAACTCAGGTGGGGAACTCCCTGAGCAGGCAGCGAACAAAATGCACGCGAGGGACGCAGAAGCAACAACCTCCCCAGAAGCCAGCACTTAAGACACAGAGCACATCCCCCCGCGACTGGACCTCCAGGCCAGGCAATGCCTGTGGGGTCCCAGTGACTCACACACCTGCCCCCACACATGAAGCACACCCTCGCAAACCCACACACCTCTGTCATCTGCTTTTGCTTACATAACAGCACATGGTGTGACAGGCTTAATACTTTATATGGTTTTCGGGCAGGGACAGCTAACTCAAAAGGAGTAGGGTTACAAGAATGTTTTTACAGACCCCTTTTCCAGAAACTCTGGGAGCCCTAAGTGCAAATCTTTGTCAATCTATACTTGCTTATCGACAAGCAGCAAGGGCAGTCTCCGCAACTCCTCAAACCTGTCAGCATCTTTATTCTTGCCTGGGGATGGCGGAGGAGGAGAAGGAACCTACTGAATCTTCATTTCTCGTTGTTGGATTCTGACACAATTTGGGGTTATCTTTTACCTCATTATGTGGCCATTGATCCCACACTGTCCTTGACTCACAAATACATCCATGCTCATGCGTAAATAGGGTCCCCCATTCTCACTCACACTTGGCCCTAGCCTTCCCCGGGGGGCCTCCCCACATTGCCCTCCCGGGCACACCCAGGGGAGGGGGGGGCACGTGTAAATGTAACCTCATATCCAGTGGCGTCCTACAGACAGAAACCACATCTGCTTCCTCCTCGATGGGGCATTTCGAGGCAGGTCCAAGTTCCACAAGGGTTTCTCCTCAGCACAGCGCTGCTCTGTTCTGCCTGCCACTCGGAGTGATCTCAGCTATCAAGTTAGTGCCAAAGGTTTACCCAGTGAAATCTGGAAGGCAGGGGGAGTGGTGGAAGATGACACCGGCTCAGGGCAACTTTGACGACTTCTCTCAAGGCAACTAGGCATCTCTGTGTCTGCGCCCCCTCCCCTCGCGCACACACACAATTGTTGTTGTTCCCTCCTCCTCGGGGACCTGGGGCTCTCTCCTCTCACGGGGAACCAGGCGCCCGTGTCTTTCCTTCAGCCTAGACTGTGGGGATGGAAGAGAACCCGTGTCCCCAGGAGGAAGAGGAAGGAGCGAGCCGAGGGACAGCCAGGCGCCCCAACTCCGCGGAAGCGCTCGGGGCTCCCGCCGCGGCGGCACCTGTCTCGGCGCCGGCTCCGCGCCTACCTGTAAGAGACCTGCTTCCGGAAAGTTAAGTTCCTCAGTTTCTCCTCCAGAGCCTCGTCCTTCTCCTTCTGGCCGGCGGCCGCGGGCTCCTCCAGGGCAGCGGCCCCCGCCGCCGCCGCCCCTGCGCCCCACGGGTCCGCGCCGCCCTCGGCGCCCAGGCAGCAGCTCCCGGCGCCGCTCCCGCCGCCCGCCGCCCCCTGGTCCTCGCCCGCCGAGGGGCTGGGGTTCATGGCGCCCGCTCCGGCGGCCGCGGGGAGCCCAGGCGGCGCCGCTGCAGAGGCCGGGCCGGCTGACGGCGCGGGCGGCGGCGGCGGGAGCGCGGGCAGGTCCGCGCGCCGCTGGCAGGGGCAGCAAATGGCAGCCCCTTCCCGCAGCATCCATCCGCGGCTGCACCGCACCGGGGCATTGTGGGAAACTCCGTGCCTCCACTCCCCCTCCCCGACCAATCAGCGGCCACCTCTCCCGGCCCCCCTCCGCCCCCTCCCTGCCGGCCCGCGCCCTCCAGCCCCACTGGCCTTTTCCTAAATCGGGAGCAAAGGCCAGGCTGAACCTGAACGCTGCCCGCAGGCGACGGGCTGCAGGGGACGCGGGCGGGACGGACGGGGCCGCCGGGCTGGGGACGCCGGCACGGACACCGGGCTTCGGGAAGGGAGCGCGGCCGGGGCTCTCGTGCCGCGCCCTGGCGCGCACACGGGGAGACTGGGACCCGGCGGCGGGGCGCCCTGCGCGGGCCGGCGCCGCGTTGGCAGGGGCGCCCGCCGTGGTGCGAATCCCCAGGCGCGCGATGCTGGGTCGGCGTCCTCCCCTCCGCCCTTCCCGGGCGCAGCGCCGGGGCGGACGGAAGGCGCCGGACGCGGGGAACCTGGGGACGTGGGGCAGCAGCGTGGTCGGCGGGAACCTCGGAGCGACTTCGTGCGAGGTGTGGATTAAAGGGGTGGGTGCCAAGTTCGAGCCTACCTCCTCTCTCGGGGCGAGGGCTGGGACCCTCTGGTCCCTGAATGTCGCCGCCCAGCTCCTCGCCCCGTGCCTTCCTTACTCTAGGCGCTCGCTCAACGGCTGCTCATTTGGTTGAATGGGATGGCAGGGCCCTGGGCGAGGCAGGGAGCTGAGGGGAGACAAGGGGGCGACATCGAGGACCCGAGCGCCCGGCGCCTCTGCCGCGTCCCCGTGAGGCTGGGACCACCCGAGCTTGCCGTCTCTGCAGAATTTGTCCGCCTCATCCCTAGTTTTTGTTTCTAAGAGTATTAAAAATTCTGTGTATTCCGAATGATGTGGTACAAAGCATTTAAGACAAATCGTTTTCCAAATTACAGACTTCCACCCAAGAAATAGCTGCTGTCAACAAACACAAGAAAGAGCTCTACCTAAGGGTGGGTGGTGTTCGCCACCGAACCATACAGGGGCGTGGTGCTAAGGGAACCAGACCTGAGAACGGTTTCAGGGTGGCTTTGTGTGTCCACGAACAAGTTGCTTGATTTCTTTCCCGTTGTTTTCTCATGACAAAAGTTAAGAGATTTAACAAGATACCTCAAACTTCTTCCAGCTCCCACGTTCTGTAATTCTCCTCATCTATATGTTATATAGCAAGACAAAGGTAAAAGCACTTCCATAGTGGAGTGAGGAAACGTAATGAGAAAAATAGAAACAGCTAGCAGTTATGAAGCCCTCGTTTATATGCAAGTGCTGTACTGAGCACTTCCCACACCGCTTCTACTTTGTCACAGCACCCCTCAAGGGCTCAGGATCGTGCAACTATTATAGAAACTGGCAAAGCCAGGAATTACACCCAGGCTGCTTGGTGGTAGGTCTTTGTGCTTCGCCCTGGCGCGGTGCACTCCATCTTCAGAAGCAACACCATGTATTAGGTGATTTCACAATACCTACTGTACCCCTAAGACCAGGCAAATGGCATCTTAACCTAACCACTGGCACAGCTTCCTCTCTACTCTCACTACTCCCAGCCATATCTTCCCCAATCTGATCTCCAGTGTGAGCCTCAAGATACTGCTGTTATGTAATACCTCCACCTAAAAATCTCCCTGATTTTGTTATGTTGCCTCATACTGCCATTAGGGTAAAGCTCAAACCACTCCTTAACTGATTTTTCAAGGCCACCGTAGTGGGTGGTGGTGTACTCCTCACTTCCCCCTCACACTGCCACACTGTCATGATAGTGCAGCTCTGAACTGTCCTGTGTGCAAGTCCCACGTGTTCTCTGCTTTCTCCGATCCCATCTTTGCATGTGTTGGTCTGCTGTCTCCTGTCCCTTGCTTCTCCCATCTCTAATACTTGCCAAGCTAATTTCTACACCCCCATTAGATTTTAGTTTACATGCCTCTCCCTGCCGGAAGCCTTTGCCGGTGATGCCCTTCTAGACTGTGATGGGTGTACCTCCAACAGGCTCCCATTGCACCACACACTAAACTCAGACCTGTGACTGTCACTTGTCTATCTCTCCTGCAGGTATGTGGAGGCTATATGTTGTTTATCACTGTATCTCCAGTAATAATAAACATATGATATAGTAGCTTAATAAGTATGCAGACCATGGGCCATGATTAAGTGTTTATTGGCTGAAAAGAGGAACATACATGGTTTTGAACATATAAACATATGCTCAAATTCACTCATTGTAAAAGAGTTTCCATTTTAAACTATACAAAGATGCCATTTTCAGAATAAACAATTTGATAATGGATAGTATTAGTGAGGGGGTAGGAAAACCAACACTTTCTCAAATTGTTGGTATAGTTTAACTGGTAGAGTCTCTCTGATGGGCAATTTGGCAAATGTTTATCAATTTTTGAAAGGTACAACTTGATTAACCTAGCCATTCCACTTCTAGAAATGTGTCCTCTGATACACTTGTAGGTGTACACAAAAAATTTAAGACTGGCAGAAATCTAAATTACTAATTTAGGTAATTAGTAGATTAATTGCTTAAATTACTAATTTAAGTATTTGCCTAAATTATTATTCATCCAAACAATAGAATTCTCTGGAGCCATTAAAAGAAATAAGGCAAATTGATATATATTTTAAATTGATATATATATAAAACAATCTCAAACATACAATGTTAACTAAAAAAGAAAAACAATTCTCAGAGTATTTAGTAGTATGCTATCATTCATGGAATAAAGAAGATTGATACTTAGTATTTCTGGAAAGATCCATAAGGAAACAGTGACACTCAAGCAGAGTTGAGTGGCCCTAGCTAGAGGTTGTGCCTGATTAAATCAATATATATCAACAGGAGACAGAATGTCTCCCAGGTTATCAGGAGAACTAGCTGGACCTATCAGGTGCATATCTTCATGTTTAAATAGCATATTGGTGGGTTGTTAAACAAAGGAAAATAGGATTTAAAAATGACAGTCATTGCATATGCACCCTAACTCTATTGTGGGGTTGCCTTCTGAGAAGTTACTTAAAATATTAGTCATTCTCTTAGACAATTTATTTTTCTTTCTGTTTTTCAATGATCACTAAGTAACATTGTAACTATTCATTCAGCTTCATAGTTACCTTGACACTAAAAAATGGGATTCTTGAAAATGGGTCAAAACCATTTCAATCACAGAAAAGGAAATTGATGTTCTGGTTTAAAAATATATCTTGCGTAATTTTGAGTAACGTAAGCAGATAAACAAGAAAATGAGCATTTCTGGGTATGTTGAAACATCCAGCCTTTGGACCTACAAGTCTAATTCCAGACCTCAGATGGACAATTTCTCCATTACTGGACACAGAGCCATGCCCCATTAGGTGAGCTTCTCAACTCATCATTCTAATATCAATTACTGTTCGATCTAAAACAGTTATCATTCTAGTCTTGAATACTAAACTTGAAGTCTCCTAAATTCTAGTCTTGATAAAAAGGGCTTCAACATGAAGTTTTTAAAGAAAGAAGAATTTTTTTTAAGTCTAGGTAAAACGATATGTATGTAGCTTTCAGGAATTTTCAGGAAATAACACAGAATCAGGTTTCTTAATAAACGAGTGACACATGCACATGAACACATTGATGACCTCAGTTATTTATAGGCCACAGAAGGATAATAGAGCTTTTTAAAATGTTATTGCTAAAGGAAAAAAGAAAAGGAATTTTCTAGAGTTGAGCTTATAGATATCATATTGTACAGAAATGACAACTGAGCTCCCTCACAAAGCCCACAAGGCCCTACTAGGTCTCTCCTTTGCCTCCTTGGCCCCAGCAGTCCCCTACTTTCCTACTCAGCTCTCCTGACCTCCCATTTCTTTCTCATGCAAGCTAAGCTTATTCCTGCCTGCCCATAAAGCTCTATCTCTGAGGTTCCCAAACTTCCTCAGTTCACACCACCCTTAGTGTCTCAGTAATTATCTTTCCTGGCACCTGTAGGCCAACATTTAGGAAGAAGAACCTAACACTTATGTTTATTAAGTAGTTAGGTGACAACAATTTAATAAGCATTTATATCTTGACAACTTTAATAGCTATTAAAAAATAATATGCATAAGTGAAAGAAAAAAAAATGTTTGTATTTCCTTTTTAAAGCAGCCACAGTTACTTACTAATAGGATAACAATGGCGCGGAACAACTCCTCAAACCTCAGGATCATATTGGACGTCACCACCCTTGTTGCCTGTTCTATATTGATTTGCATGTGGTATTGCTCTTTTATCAGGGCAACCACCGAAAACCCAGCTTTGCAAACATAAAGATATTATGGAAAAAAAAGATAGTGTAAGTGTTGAAACTGTCAACTACCTTGAACTAGTACTACTAGTATGCGTGGCGTCTACCAGATGTTGAGTATCACCGGGTTTCCCTCAAACACTATCCTGCAGTGTCCCTGTGAATGCCAGTGTGAATGCACACATGCATGGCTCAGGAACTGTGGCTTTACCCCGTATTTTTGCATTTTGTTTGTTTTTGCTTGGGTTCTCTAGAAAACAGATCCCAAGGCAAAGCTTATGAGCCAAGGCTTTACGGGGAATTGTAATCCCAGGATTTAAGAATGAAGGGAAAAGAGAATCAAAGCAGAAAAGGAGTGAAAGTAAATTCAAGGTGGTGAGCTATGAAATGGCTACAGCCTTACAAAAAACATACTGCTTGCTTGGTCACGAGGACTTCTTTTAGACGAGATTTACATCATTGCACCTAGGAACATTCTGTCTTCAGGAGAGAGAAGAATTCATCTGCCAGTTTCTTGCTGTCTCGTGTTAAAACAGAGTGAAGTTTGTCCCATAGGGAATTAATTCACCCTCACATCCAGGTTGTGTTACTGGGTCTTTATGGCAGCCACTAGGGAACCCAGATCCCCTGCCCCACAGCAGGACTCTGTTCTTTTCAGGAAGTGATGGCAGGAACTTCTAAGCATAGAGATTGATTGGGCCT